GAGTATTGTTCACAGGGGCAAACTGTCATTAAGAATTTCTAGTTAGGATATAGGAATCAATGTATTATTTGTTTGGACACTTTTTGTAGTTGAAACATTAATTTTAGTACATATGAGGTGTGTGGGACCCTGAGAAGTTCAATTCCACATAATTTTTTGAAATTAAAAGAGAGAAAAGCTTAGGCTCTTAAAACCCTAGCTTGGGGTATGATGAAGAAACCGGAGGTTTCTCTGACTTGTGCTTGTGTTTAGCATTGCTTTTTTGCTGATTTTATTGTTCCATCAAATTGCCCTGCATCAAATTGTTTTAGAGCCTGTGATCTACACGGAAATCACTTAGCACTGTACGGAGTAACTATAGCATGGTATGGAATTGATGTAGCAGTGTATGGAGTTGATGTAGCACCACTTTTTTGATGCCCTAGGTCGACAACAAAGAGGAGAAGTTATATTGGGGTCTAGGGTTTACTTATTTTTTCCAAAGTTTTACCTAAACAATCTAGATCTTGCTAATTTCAATAGTCTTTGTTGATTATTTGTCCAGGTTTGTGATTTTAGTGAACCCATGGCAGCGAGCAGGGGCCATAGATGAGGGATTTGTGTGGATCCACTCCGTGATCCCATAGATGATAGAATTGAGGAACTTGAAAGGCTAGTACAACAGCTGGCGAAGCAGTTCGTGAGCCTCAATAATGGGCATGACGGTGATCTTTCAACCCTAGAGGATCTCGAGTACAATCCTTTTCACTTTTGCACTCCGTGTGGGAAGTCAAGTGATGAGGATAGTGTCAAAAGACCTAGATGTGGGAAACATCACTATTGGGTTTTCAATTTGGAAGATGAGATTTTTTATTTTAACACAGATTGCATGGAAAATCAGTAAATTGTAGATTGGGATTCACCAATCTTCGATATATACTTGGATGAGCAACAAGATTTCTTAGGAGATCTAGTTTATGCTAAAGATCAAGATGATGATGAAGAGATTTTGGAAGAAGGTGAAGAAAATGGGCCATGAGTGTAAAAATGAAAAAGGGGGATATTTTTAAATACTGCAAATATAGGATATTTATGAAGATTTCCCAAGAAAATAACGACCCTAAATACTTCCCAAATCTACCCATCAAAATCATAAAATGCTCTAGATAAATTAAAAATAAGCTTTAAAATAATCTCAAAACTATATACCTGAAAATACTCCCATGGTTGGATAAAAATTGAAAATACAAATCAATGTTTTGAATTGTACTAAGATCAACCCTGCATCAAACCACCATCTTCTTCGACCTTCTTCTTTGTGGGATCTAATAGTATGGTGATAGGGAGAACTCCTTAGGAAATGGACCTTGATATGTACTTGTCGAGGAATTGATACAAACATTCAAATTAAGTTATCCCTGAACTTGCATTAAAAACTTTGAACTCAGAGTTTAAGCGTTTAGAAGCATCTGGCCAAATCTGCTAGGCAATACTTGTGCATGCTTTGGCATTGTAGGGCTCATGCTGCCATTTTTGAAAGGTAATAATAGCAATTTCTGATACTTGAGTGGATAGTATGGCCTCTGGAACTTGTAGTATGCAAATGGCTTGTATTCTTGTTTGCAAAAGCCCTATATTTGTGCTTGCACCAAGCTCATCTTTCTTAGGCAAAGCATCAAAACTCCTTAGAAGTCAACTCCAATTCCACCAACTAAATTTGGCTTTTGTTTAGAAGCCTAAAAATTCCTCAATCTCACAAGTATCTATCACAAAGAAGGAAACATGTATGTCCTTGATCCAAGGCTTAATTCGTGGGCCAAGTTGATGACTCCACTTTTTGATTCTTCTCGAACTTCGTTCCGACCAAATCCTTGGGATGGGTTATTATCGTTCTTCTTACTCTCAATAAAGGAGCCTGCTATTTCCGTGCTTGCTTTCTACTTGCTTGGATTCTTTTCCAAGAGTCTCCAACATGATCTCTCCTATCTCTCTCTCTCTCTCTCTCTCTCTCTCTCTCTCTCTACTATACTATATATATATATATATACTATACTACTACTACTACGTTACTTACTTACTTACTTACTTACTTACTACTTACGTACTACGTACTACGTACGTACGTAACGTACGT